TGATCCTTGAAGACGTCACACTCCGACAAGCGTCTAGCGAGCGGCTTCGGTGGTTAATAGCGAATGGTGGGGAGCTTGCAAGTCAGATGCTCCCCGAACATCATAGCACGGTCTGTTCATGGATCCGTCAGACATTCGATAGTCGACGACAAGTTATCTTCAATCTTGTTAAGAACTCGAAGAGCGCTGTCCATTTAAGCTTTGATCTATGGACGGCTTCAAATGCGTTCAATTACTTGGGCATCGTCGGGCATTTTGTTGACGTGAAAGGCGAGAAACGTGATGTGCTCCTTGGGCTACCACGTCTTGTCGGCCCACACTCTGGCGAGAACATGGCGACATATGTCAAGGGCGTGATCGAGCAATACGAATTAGGCTCCAAGCTTGGATACTTCATGCTCGATAACGCGGAGAGTAACGATACCTGCCTGGAGACGCTTGCTAAGTGGTTTCCAATGGATGTCAGGCGTCGGCGCTTGCGCTGCGTAGGGCACGTTATCAACCTGATCGTCCGGGCGGTTATCTTCGGTTCCAATGTTGCCGCCTTTGAGGCACAGCTCCGTGGGGCCACTGATGAGTTCCGTTTTGAGCTTTGGGCTAGGAAGGGCGCTATCGGTAGGCTTCATAACCTTGCTACGTACATTCGTCGGACAGACCAACGACGACAGGTCCCCCCCGTNTTCGCCAAAATTCCAAACCGAGCTCGCTGGCGACGACGCCATTTTTTACCCCTGGAGATCCGGGNTTAAACGGGTTTTCGGACCGGGTACAAAACACGCTGGAACTCCATTTACCATATGGTTGAACGCGGTAGTTGACCATCACTATATTACTATAACTACGGTGGCTGCTTGCTAACAAGTTGGCTGCGTGTACTAGCACTTGAGATTCGTAGCGCGATCGAACTGTATCAATCCCGGTGGCAAAAGCCCCGGCACGACCCCAACCACCGCGATCTAACCAACGATTTTCTCAACGCCACGGACTGGGTTGAGCTCGAGCGCTTTTATCATTTCCTGAAGCCTTTTCACATCCTAACCAAGACCATGGAAGGTAACGCCAACAAACCGGGGGCAGAAGGAGGCCACGGCGCCGTGTGGGAGACGTTGAAGACGATGGACTACCTGTTTATCAAATTCAAGCAGGCAGCAGAGGAAACACGGCTTGAAGAAGCCTCGCATTTTAAGTCTGGAATCGATTGTGGGTGGGCTAAGCTTGAAGACTACTACGTCAAGACCGACAGGACGCCAGTGTATCGAGCAGCACTTGCCCTCCATCCATCTTACGGATACGACTACTTTGAACGTCACTGGAAGAAGGCTATGGGTAAACCGCAATGGTACAGCGACATGCAGTCGGCTGTTGGTGGACTCTTCGACGAATATCGATGGCAAGCGGAAGCTGAAACCCAGGCGCAGGCAGGGCTTTCGCAGGACGATGATGACGAAATCGACGCTGATGTGAACGAGTACAGCTCTTTTGGGAAGCGACCAATCAGCTCACTGAACGCACAGCGGATGAGGGCCAAGACAGTTAGTGAGCTCGACTTATTCCAGACACGGCCAATCTATGCCGAAGATCTTGATGTCACGAGCCCTCTCGAATGGTGGAGCCGGCATCAAGCCGAGTACCCGGTCTTGTATCGAATGGCGGTGGATCTATTCTCGATCCCCGGAATGAGCGCCGAATGTGAGAGGATATTTAGCCAGACTGAGAAGATGATCACGGATGAACGGAATAGACTATCGCCTGAGACGGTTGAAGCTGATCAGCTCCAAAAGCAATGGCTAATGAGAGGCCTAGTACTGTAGCCGTAGCAAGAGAACCATGGTCATTTGAGCATGAACCCTAGTAAAGTAGTAGCCTTTGGATACGAGGGTCAGGCCTCCAGACCCAGACCGTCAGACCCAGACGGACCGGCCCCTCGACTCCAGACAGACCTAGACCGACAGACCGCAAGCCCTCGTGAACCCAGACCGACAGACCGGACGGGCCGGTCTAGGTCTGTCGGTCTGTTAGCCACACTG